GATTTAAAACTCATGCCATCAGATGGGCCCACAACAGAAGGTATTTTTTGTATTTTTTTGTGTAGTGTGAATGTTAACATAGTAAATTTTCATGTTGTATGTTAATGCATGTACCCTTGTAATACAAATACAGTATTGGTGCTAATTGAGAAATACATATACTATAACGTTAAGATTTCATGCAGCTACTAGTAACAAGTAAGCGTAGAGTCTGTCCTCATATATTGTCTTTATATAGTTGAACCAAATATTTTATACTTCTGGTTCAATTATAACATCATAGTTAATTCAAAGTTCCTACCGTTGTTTTTATGTGTTTTTTGTCTTGCTGTAATGTAAAAGTACATCTTACCATTATAAATGTTGCTTTTAACTATTTTTAAAACTTTTTTCATAGACCCATTAGTCTTGTATCAGTCATGGGAAAAGTTTTGGAAAGTCTGTTAAAAGATGCATTGTTCTTGCTACTACCATTACATTTTGAATGGATTTAATACTTGTGCAAATGATAAACATATTAATAACATTTTTATAATTTCCATACTGTATCTCTGAAAAGTATTTTATTCTAGGGTTTCATTGTTAGAAATGGCTCAATAATACATGTAACAAACAGAACTTAATCAAGTGCTACATTGGTGTAATTGTATCTATGTTAGCTATTGCTTGTGCTAAAAATTCTTGCTAGTAAATGTTTGTCCATAAATTTAAAACATACAGTATATAACGTGGTGTCCTTTGTTCTTATACAAACTTGCTTAATATCTTCAGGTCTAGTACAGACATTGAAACAAATTAACAAATGAAAATTGTATACAATATTACACATTTTTCAGGATATTCAATAATACATAATATGATGTTAATTAAAAAAGAAAATCAATGTTTATACAAAGATTAAACATAAAAACTTCAGAAATTGAAGGATAACCCCAGAGTAGTTTTATGTAAAATAAGTCACGGAAGGAATTGAAATATAAAGAAATATTTGTAGTAAGTCAACAACACAGTGAGGTACATCTGTTAAAAACGTATTTACTAAACTTTTTTTAAATATGTTCGATAAGGTGAGTAAGCGTGTATCTTATTGAGTGTATAACAAGACTGTTTTTTTTTTCTGTGAGGTGCTATGTCATAATGAATTGTTAAAGATCTAAAATGGTTTTCAATGAGCTTTGATTTTAATATTTATAGGGCACACATTTATTGTCTAAAATCATAGCAAATAATGGATTACATGTATACTAAAGCAATCTAAAACACTTAATATTTCTCATGTGGCAGTCATATAAGATTTTCCATTAAACGTACTTCCAAACAAAATAAAAGAAAATAGTTTTATTCCTAAGAAACAGCAAACAATGTCATCTTAGTCAGTTTTCACTAACTGTACTCTATAATTTTATAATCTAATTTCTAAACTAAATATATAGTAAAATAGAACTAAACGTTCCAATAACCTACAGATCAATTTAAGACTACCAGAAAAGTATAGAAAACAAGAAAAGGAATTTAATAAGAAGTAACAATGAAAAATGAGGAATAAAGTTTGAAATCAAAAATATATCATTAATAAAGTGAGACAAAATTATGAAGTGGTAAATAAGCAAAGAAAAATGTAACTCCTCTGGGAAACGTTTTGGAAAGTCTGTTAAAAGATGCTTTACAAAGTCATTTAACAAAGTTTATAATTTTATTGGATAGTCAACATTGTTTCACTGAGAGAAAATCTTGCCTTACAAATATTTTAACACTCTTTAAGAAGATTATTGCTTATGGAGATTAGGGTAAGGGTGTAGATTTGATGTATCTGGATCTTCAGAAAGCATTTGACAAGATGCCACATAAAAGGCTTTTAAAAAAAAATTAGCTCTATAGGTGTGGGGGGATAAGTTAGCAGATTGTACAGAAAAGTGGCTGGATGAAAGAAAGCAGAGGGTTGTTACAAATGGAGTTCAGTCAAACTGGATTAATGTCACAAGTGGGGTACCTCAGGGCTCAGTCTTAGGACCTTTGTTCTTTTTGATTTACATCAGTGACATAGATGAAGGAATGGTCAATAGATTACTTAAATTTGCAGATGATATTAAGGTCTTGGGTGTTGCTAGCTGTGAAGAGGAGGATGCTGATTTACAAAAGGATTTAGATCACTTAGTGAGTTGGGCAAATAAATGGCAGATGGGTTTGGATTTTTATAAATGCAAAATAATGCATGTGGGTTATCATAATTTGAATTATAAGTATAATTTGGATGGGAATAACCTTAATAGTGGTGTAATAGTGATCAGTCTCTAAAGCCATCCAAGCAGTGTGCTGTTGCTAGTGTTAGGGCAAATAGGATTTTAAGTTGTATTTACAAAAATATCGAATACAAGTCTAAAGAGGTTATAATTTCATGGTACAGGTCACTGGTTAGGCCACACTTGGAATATTGTGTTCAGTCTTGGGCATCCTTACCTTAGGAAGGACATTGAATTGTTGGAAAGGGTTACTAGAATGGTGCCTGGGATGGAGGGGTTGTCATTCAAGGAGAGGCTGAAATCTCTCAAATTGTTTTGTCTTG